TAACGATCCGAATTTCTGTACCCAAACCGTTAGAGTTGTCCAATTGGTATCAGCATTCAACTTAAGTTTTACTTAAGGGAAAGGTCGTGAGTTCGAATCCTGGGGGACGTTATAGAAAGTCGTGAGGGGTAAGTGGGCGCAAGATCCCCCCAAAGCGGATAGTACATAAGCTAACGGTTTAGATACAGAGACACGGGTCGTTACAAAAAATGCACGTTTTCTTGTAACGACTCGAGTCTCTATACCTAAGCCGTTAGCTTATATACTGTTCGCTTTGGGTGGGCCTTCTGCCCACTTACCCCTCACAACTTTCTGTCGCGTTCCCAAGATTCGAACTGATAATATTTCCCTTAAATAAGATTTAAGTTGAATCCTGGTACCAATTGGGCAAGCCATGAGGGGTAAGTGGGCGTAAAGCCCATCCAAAGCGGACAGTACATAAACCTAACGGGTTGGGTACAAAGACCCGGATCGTTATGAGTTCGAATCTTGGGGAACTCAACAGAAATGCTTGAGGGGTAAGTGGGTGCAAGGCCCACCCAAAGGGGACAGTATATAAACTAACGGTTTGGGTACAGAGATCCGGGTCGTTACAAAAAAATGCGCATTTTTTGTAACGATCCGGGTCTCTATACCAAAATCGTTAGTTTATGTACTATCTGCTTTGGGTGGATCTTGTGCCCACTTACACCTTACGACTTTCTGTTGCGTCTCCCAGGATTCGAACTAATGAACTTTCCCTTAAGTAAAACTTAAGTTGAATCCTGGTACCAATTGAAAAACTTGTCCAATTGGTACCAAGGTTTAATTTAAGTCTTACTTAAGGGAAAGGTCATGAGTTCGAATTCTGGGAGACGCGATAGAAAGTCGTGAGGGTAAATGGGCGCAAGGTCCACCCAAGAATTGGTACCAAAGCTCAACTTAAGTCTTAGTTAACGGAAAGGTCATCAGTTCGAGTCTTGAGGGACGCGATAGAAAGCCATGGGGCTAAGTGGGCGCAAGGTCCACCCAAAACGAATAGTACGTAAGCTAACGGTTTGGGTACAGAGACCCGGGTTGTTACATTTGTGACTTTGTAAACATGGACTCAATTATATTGTAGGTATTGCTTCCAGAATTTTGGGTCACTATTGTTGGTACATTTTGAAAATATTCTTCGTTTTTATAAAACATGAGCCTAGTAGAATTATAAAGATGATTAAAGAATGTTCTTGGGCAATTGGTGTAGCCTGTTTTCCACAATAAGGGAAAATTATAACTAGGAAGGTTTCATGTTACATATTTAAAAATATCAAACTTGTAGATTTTTTTTTTTCAAAAATTAGCTAGTCACATACTGTGATCCTAATAAAAGTTTGTCACTTACAATTTATTTAATTTGGTCATAGTCACAATCGCACACAATATGTGGTCGCAATCATATACCAATAACAAATCGTATAAGATCACAACCACAATCACAAAAACACAAATTTTGAGTCACAATTACAAATTTAATCACAAATTATACATTTTTAGGTCACAACTTATTTATAATTATCCATTCTATTGATAACAATAATCCAAAATGCTCTTCATTCCATACTACTCCACCCCACCACCATTGCCTAACCCAAACACCACTGCCACCTCACCATAACTGTTTGCTATTTGAGAAAATCTCACAAGCGTACGAGATCATTAACAAGCAATGTGCAGTGAGTTACCTATATCGTGTCATGGGGAATAACTTTCAACTACAATGTACTAGTTACAATCAAATTCGATCTATATAACACAAAAGAGATAGACAAATTATATGAAAGTTTTGGTTTTTATCAAATAGTGAGATGAATTATTGAATTTCAGAATCTACCTATTGATGTCTATTTTCAATTTTCAAATCATGTAAGTTAGTGTTCTTTAAGTATTCATGACAATCGATAATCCGTTAATATCTAACATTCTTTTCCAAGATTGATTAAACCTATCCTAAACATGACTCGATTCTATTACTAGATCAAATTTATATGTAAATAGATGCTTTTAATCACACAATTATCAACCTAGATTGTATATACCATAAATGTTACTCCTAACAACTATTGTCCATGCACCAAATATGAAATGATCTCCCAACACTTCAATAAGTAACAAGTTATCTAAAAGGTGTTCAACCATTCAAACAATGAAATATGCATGCATTTTAGTCAAGACACAAGAATTAACTAAAATACTCAAATCTTGAAATAAAAATAGCAATCAAAGGATTTCATTATTCATCCCAATATACAAGAAGTTTAGCCTAAGATTATCATATTCAGATTATACAAAAAGATATGAAAAGACATCACGCAAAGTAAAAAAAATATATGAAATTCTTAAAAACTCAATTCCTTGCACTTCAATCTTCAATTCAAGCTTTGTACTTTCAATGCTCGTTGTAAAATCTTTTGTTCGCATCTAGCTACCCTTTCTTCAATGATAAAAACCAGGCGATCTACATTCTAGATGCCCGTTCAAGTTATAAAAGGATACAAAATATCACATACTTAAACTTGTCATATCAAGAAAAGAAAATAACTTTTTTCTTCGAAAACCAACCAATGCGCATGCATGGTAGAGCTGAAATAGGTTCAATCGATTGTGTAAGGAGGCCTCATGCACCTTGCCTGGCCTTGTAGAGCCATGCGTGCGCATGGCTTGTGGTTTGGGGGCCAATTTTACAAATTGGTTCCTAAAGTTTTCTCCATATGCATTTTGATCCTTCTTCATTTCTTTTCAGCTTGCTTTCCTCTTTTCTCGTCCAATTAGATCCTAGCATCATCTTATCATTAATTTGAGGTCCGTGTCAACTTTTGATTATTTGCATTTATGTCCATGATTTTTATATTTCTTCACTTTTCGCTCACTTTTCATTCCTTTCACTCAATTTCGTCGTTCTCATTGAGTTTTTCTTGACAAATACAATTTACATCGAATTAAACCATATTTTATTAAAATAACCAACATATATCTTAATTTAGCGATCTAGATAAATGTACTACACTCACCTCCAACAACAACCATCACCTCCACCTCCACCTCCACTACGCCGTGACTACCACACCATCACCACCTCTAACTTTAATTCCAACCAACCACATTTGCACCACCATCGCACAACCAAAGATATAGCTCAGCCGCCGCCACCGCACCACACAACTACCACCTCCACCTCCACCTCCAACTAACCACCATTTCTTTTTCAAAGATGTACAAAAATCTAGATAGGTTTCCTATCAACAAAATCCATAAACATGCACCTTTAATACACCACAAAATCTATCCCCAATCTAGCTACAGCCAAAATCAGAAGAAGAGAAAAATGAAAAAATCTAAATGATCTTTGATTATGAGAACTATTAATCATCATCTGTAGCGTCAGACCATCATCAACACACCATTGTCGTCATTTGAAAGTTCACGACCTGCATCTTCAATTTAGCCTCCACTATCAACCTCCACCTTCATCTTCCCTACCATCGTCGATCGAGTTGAACATGTGGAGGTCGTCGCAGTAATAATTTGGGTGGGTTGATGTCGTGCTTTGTTAATTTAACAGCGAGAGAAGAGATTTAATTGTGGATGGCAATGAAGGGGATAAATGGATAGATTTACGTTTGGCCGGAGAGAAAGGTGGAGGTGGCAGTGCCAGAGAGAAAGGTGACATTGGAGGTGCTGGAGAAGGTGGTAATGGCAGTGGTGGTGCCGACCTACGCACACCCCATAGGCGTGTAAGGAAATTTTGGTTTGTGTTGTGGAAGCAACATTGTGACTGGAGGGTGGAAAATGAATGGAAAATTTTGGTTGTCCAGGGCCACATGGGCCCTGGATGGACAGGGCCCTGGACATATAGCCTCTCTCAAATTAAATTAGGGTTAGGGCAGTGTTGTGTGGAATGTGGTGGGGTTGAGTTGGGATACACCTGATTTTCAAAAAAATAATTTTATCATCTGATTATTGAAATAAAAAATTGAAAAATAACTGTGAGTATAATTTCCACTTTCAATAAAGTCATTTATCAGGGTAGCAATCTCTAGGCTCAACCGGCACTTGTCATTTATGAGCTAGTTTTTAGGCCCAAAAGCCAAGTCGAACAAGATCATTGCCCAAAAGGAGGGCTTGGTCTGGCACTTGGCTCGGGCTTGCCATGATCCGAGTTAGCCCAAAAGTGAAGAGCCTGACAAAAATAAAAAAATTCTTATGATAGATACATTAATGGAAAATGATACTTGTACACTTTAGGATGTACATAAGACTTTATACCCCTCATGAGAAAAATTTTGATGGGACAATCACACTGTCTTAATTGTGTGCTCAACATTGCCATCTTTGAGAAGAAATCTCAAACTACTTAGAAATTGGTTTAACTGATGTTTAGAACATTTCACGCTACAGTATAATGTCAAAAACGAAAGACAATAAAAGTATAAAATGTAAATAACTTGAAATCAAGAGATTAGAGAATATGAAAATGAGTTATTTATAGAATAAAGTTTGAGTATGTAAAAAAAAATAATAAAAAAAATTTTGAAATAGAGAGATTAGAGAATATGAAAATGAGTAATTTATAGAACAAAGTTCGAGTATGTAAAAAATAAATAAATAAATAAAAAAGAGAAAAAAAGAAAAAGAATAATAATAATAATTTAAATCGAGAGATTAGAGAAGATGAAAACGGGTCATATATAGAACAAAGTTCAAGTATGTGTAAAAAAAGTGGGGGAGTAAATTAAAGGTTGCAAAATGCAAATTAAGAATCAATTCAGACATCCGGCTACAATCTGGCTTCAGTTGCACCAGGTTTTAAGTGTTGGACACTTGGAAACGAGGTTGCCATTGTTTTCTCTTACTTTGATCGTTGAACCACCCTAGTTTTCAGCAGAAACAAATGCTGTTTTGTTGAAAAAATAATACAAACCACAAGCATTTCCATTTTCCTAGCTTTATCATGGCCTATAAATGCATCTATTAAACTTATCCAAGGAAATATTGAAAAAAGGGGAAAGAAAAATAAATAAATAAGATACTAAGAAAAATTTCAGGTGAAGAGATATGGCAAAGAAGCTTGTTGCAGTGTTTCTAATGTGCCTTTTCGTGATGGCAACGTTTCACGTTCACGAGGCCGAAGCTGATGAGGCTCAATTCAAGGAATGCTACGACACCTGCCACAAGGAGTGTTCTGATAAGGGCAATGGCTTCACATTCTGTGAGATGAAGTGCGACACTGATTGTAGCGTCAAAGACGTTAAAGGTGTGTTTTCCAAAACTCATCAACTCTCTTTCATGGAAAGGATTTCACTTACTTTTAAATTATATATACTGTATTTTGTAATGATCCAAACCTATGTGTACTCAAATCGTTATATAATGCATATTGTTGGTCCATCCTATCTAGGATTCAACTTAAATTTCGCATAAAACAGATGCCTTGAGTTCGAGTATTAAAATGTGTGAGGAGTATGATGAACTCAAACTCTTCCAAAACGAGCAATATGTAAAATATAACGACTTGAATAAAAAGATTTGGGTCATTACATATTTGATCCCATAAATCTAATACAAGGGACCCTTGGGGGAATTGATGAATCCGGCTACACCTACACATTTTCTCTTTGTTGGATCTTTACGAATTCGTTTCATTCAAGAATTGGATAATCACTTTAAAATTACACTTTTTTCAATTCAAATAAATTATTACGATCACCCCTTTCTTAATTTATCTTCATCTGTCTTAGTTCTTACTTTACTTTCTTTTTGTAATTAATATATTTATTCCCATTTGTGCAGAGAAACTCGAAAACTACAAGCCAAAAAATTAATGGATTGAAGATAGTTGCAGCAGATTAGAACAGTACGGAGAATAAGGTGGATAATAGTTACAATTAGGTTCAAGTTTTGGGTCCACTCTTGTATTGCAATGAAGTGAAACTTATTATTGCATGAAAATTTTGATTCAATAAATTTAATTAAACAATGCTTTAGATCTTGCTTTTTATTAGTTCGTTGTTATTTTGATTTCATGCTTTGGTTATTTATGGAAATAATTTGACAAGATCACATCATATTATCTAGATTATTGATTGATGTACAAGCATCAATAAAATTAGATAAAGTGGGAATGATCGTTAATTTATTCAATTAAACAAAATAAATTAAAATAATTTTTTTTTATAAAAATGGGAGAAACAAACTATATATCGTTTAGGGGTGACAGTAAGCTGAACCAAGCCAATGCTGCCCTGGGTGACAGTAAGCTGAACCAAGCCAATGCTGCCCTGGGTGACAGTAAGCTGAACCAAGCCAATGCTGCCCTGGGTGACAGTAAGCTGAACCAAGCCAATGCTGCCCTGGGTGACAGTAAGCTGAACCAAGCCAATGCTGCCCTGGGTGACAGTAAGCTGAACCAAGCCAATGCTGCCCTGGGTGACAGTAAGCTGAACCAAGCCGATGCTGCCCTTAAAACACACAAGTTCGCTTGGCATTCAGTTCGTGTGGACATGTCTAGAACCTAGGCTTGGTTTGGCCATTTGGCTCATAGGTCTCATGGGCGAAGCAATTGTAAATCCCTTCATTTTTTGGGGATTGGGGCTGACTACTTTTAATGTAGGCGAAATTAAAATTATTCGCAAAAAAAATATTGCATGGTTAAAATTGTTCACAAATAAAAAATTGTGTGTACAATTTTATTTTATTTTATTTTATTTTTTTTAATTCAAAAGAGTGGGAAAGATTAAAGTAAACAATACATACAAATTATGAACTTCGATTTTGAAAACCTTCATCTGTTAATATGTTCACTTTATCTTAGATGTATGGCTCTCTGTCTTCTTAATTAATCATTTAAATATATTAGACTCTCTATACAAGATGCAATGTATGAAATATATTTTAACGAAGTTTGAAGGGAAGTTGACATCTATTACCAAATTCTACCTCTAAATACAAATTGAGATCGAACTTTTTAGGTATTGTTCGAACAAATTGGCAGCATTTTTGGCCTTACAGAGAATATAAAATCGTTCTTTATTACTTCATAGAGAGTCCCATCTACTGAACTATCTCGTGAGTCGAGTGTCCCATGGGACAAGGCTATTATTGCTTATTCTTTGTGTATTTTGGTAGCGGTGGGAAGTTGGAGAGGAAGACTAGTGTAGATATCTTTTTATTAGAGAAAGGGCATTTATAGCACTTAATGCTTAGAAAAGTGAAACAACTCATGAATTTACAGTGTTCTATTTAATTCTTCACACACACATATCTGTTTTATATTGAAAAAGAAGATATTGATTTTGGTAATGGGACCTTAAAATTGTTTGTAGATTTAATACAGATTCTAATTCTGAGACAAAATGGTGGGTTATCTAACCATTTTTTTTTACATGTTTTTGTATTTGTTAAGCCCCCGTTTGACACTCATTTTTTTCAAATTTTAATGTTTGAAAGAGTTTTTTTTTTCTTTTTTTTTTTTTAAAGAATGTGTAGTTGAGAGCGAGATCCAAAGTTTGAGAGGATTAAAGTGTAAATACTCAAAAGTTGTGTGGAACCTCATGATGAGGATTCGAGAATTCTAGGGATCAACTGGATGCAACTAGAAGTAAACAATGAGTAAAATGACAAAAATATATTTATAAATCAATTTTCTACCGCACAAGGATGTTCCAATCTTTAATAGAAGATTGAGACCCAATTTTAGCCTAGCAAATGTTCGAATTGGAAAGAGCTATTTTAGTAAACTTGTAGCCCTTTGAGTTATTTTTTATAACTTAATTTGAATCATCTCAATCGGATTTCGAAAGAAAAAGTTATGATAAAAATACTAAAGTTATGATTTTAGTTATGTATTTAATGCTTTTTTACTTGATAAATAAGTCAATGATTTTGTGAATCTTTGACGAATCGAGAGGTTAGTTTTAGATTTAGAACAAATATTAAAATTCGATGATTTAGTATAATGTGTAGAAATACCTATGCTCATCATTTTCGATCTTATGTGAATTCTTAAAATAAGTAGTGAGTTTAAATAAGATTGATTCACATAGAGATATGCAATTGAATTAATTAAATTAACTCAATGAGAACTCAAGAAAGATAAATTGGATATAATAGATGATCGAACACCATAGTAGATTTATGAATAATAAATTAATATTAAAAGGTGATCAATAGATAAAATTGTTATGTCCTAATATCTATTCCATATTTGAATTTTAAATCAATTTTTGTGTGCATCCCACTACTTTGAAATAGTTAGATAAAAAATCACAACAAATCACAAACTTTTTGTTTGTCTTCATCAAATAGGAGTTAGAAATATTACACAAGCATTAAAGTATAGATCTCGTGGGAACAATAATTCGTATTCCAATGTCCACTATATTACTTGTTATGATAACGTATGCTTGTGATAGAAAAAACACAACAATAAGTAAATATTTTACTTATCAATAAAAGAAAAATTATTTTAATCATCGTGCCTATCATGAAAACTTACGAATATGACTTGAATTACAATTATCATCCAATTCCTTATTCAAATATTAACGAGTCACTATGAGTTTCTTTTACGTCTCTTCTTCCCTTTCCCACTTTGCTGCATATATGTCCACGATTTCACACTCTATTAGAATTCATCACTAGTCTCATGAGTTCTTTATTCTTCTAAAATCACAGTCTCGTGAATTCTTTATTCTTCTAAAATCAAACCATGGCCGATTATCCGTAAACAAAAAATAATCATGCTACGCAGCATGGTCTCAAAACTTGCATAAGCACAACTGCAACAAATTTAAAACTAATATATTATCAAATAAACTGTTTGGCAAAATTAAAACGTAAACAAAATAACTTCAACATTTGATTCAATTCTCAATCGAAATGTTTACGGATCCAAGTGGATTCAAACCAACTATTACAAAGAAAAACAATTTCAATTTGATTATGTGGTTTGGAGATTTTGGTATTCAACGTCAATCCTACTATTTGTTCTTTAGCCCCCGCTTGACCCTCATTTTTTGAAACGAAAATTAGTGGAATAGTGATTTTTTTTTTTTTGAAAAATAAATGGTTGAAAAAGAAGGAAAAATTTTCGATTTACATGTAATATTATTTTATAAAAATTGTATGGTTGAAAATAGGAGAAAGAAAAATAAAATAGAATTTAATGGTGACCTATTAATACATCAATAAATTTCATAACATCGTCAAAGGAAAAATTAACGATGAAACCCTCAACGTTTTAAATAGTATAGATATGGGTCCGCTACCTGTTGATTCTCAACTTATAAACAACGTTTTTATTTTGTCCATGGTTCACAAAACCGTCTATTTAATAAGGTTCTAAAATACCTAAATCGTGAAAATGCGTTTCATTCAAGCATCAATCATTACATGTATATACATACCTAAACGAAGTATATTTGTATATGTGTAATTTTGAGTTTTCTAATTTTAAATATACAAACTAATAAATTAATTAAAAAATTACTCGAAATCTCAAGTATTATAATATAATCTTCAAATTTTCAACAAAAATATATTACTCAAAATTATAAATACTTCAATTACTTAGTAATTATTCCTACAATTAGTTTATAAGGAATGTCAGCTTAAAAACCTTTAAATCTTTCTAACTCTTTATCGGATTTCAATTTAATTTCATCTTCTTCATCAAAGTCATCTTTCGTGTCATCCTAATGTAAAATCATTTCCAGATTCCCTTATTTCAATTCGAGAATTTCTATCACTTCTTGTAGATGATAAAATTGTGTATTACTAGCATCACTTGCGCAAAACTAGAGAAAGATCGAAAGAGGCTCGAGCTCGACGTAGATAATTTGTAACTCTACGAAAAAGTTGTTAAAAGACAAGATCTTAAAAATTGCTGTATATAATTCATGAACTTAATTGATTTGGCTAATTTGATGTTTGTTGGGTTTAATTAGTAATTTTTTTTAAAAGTTATAAAAAAAGGCCTACGCTAATTTTGACAAAAATTTTAACACAAATGCATGCAATATTAAAATTATTTCATGCATATGTGATCAATGAAATGGATAGACTGTATTATCATGCACATAATTCATATATAATGCATTTTTGATAACGCCCCAAGCATATACGAAAATATACAAAGCATATGTGCGAATTTTATAAAACTGATATTTAATGGTTAAAGGATCAATTTTTTTAATGAAATAATTACAATACGCATAGCCCATTTTTTCTTGCTTGTATGATAAAACTCTTTCATCTTCAGAATTCTGATTCATGAATGAAAATTAAAAAGAAAAGAAAAAAGATTTTTTGTCTCTTTGAATAAACTATAAGGAATTAAAATTTTATTATTTGTAGCAATTTCACTATAAGTGGAAATAGTTAATAATTAATATTTTATTTGCAACAATTTCACTACGAGTGGAAATAGTTGAGATTATTCGCATAAATTGCAAACACAAAAAGGACCATCAAACCCTAAACTTTCAATACATTGCACAGTGGTCGAAGGTCCAAATTTCTTTTTGCAAAAGGTTGAACATTTTTCAGTCTTCCCATATTCACAAAGAATTTCAGGATGTATTTGGTAGCACGATCTTTGCATCATTCCAACTACAATTAAAAGGCAATAAACAATGTTAGTCGAAAACTTTGATCTTCGGGACGACAAATACTTAAATTCTATAATTTTAATAATTTTTATTTTTTAAAAAAAAATAAACAATTGAAAAGAACAAATATCAAATTAAGGTAGGCAAAAATGAAAAATAAAATACCTGATAAAAGAGCAAAAAGGACAAATATGAACATTTGGAGCTTCATGATTCTTTGTTGAAGAAATTATAAGTGAATTTCTAGTTTCTTATTTTCAGTAGTTGTCACCATGGATTGATTTTATAGACTTACGAGCTTATAGCTACAATTACAATTAAAATGATTTAGGTAATTATGGAAAGAAATTAATTGCAAGAGGAAATTTTGCAGATAATGTAGATTTTCCAA